TAAAGGAGAAGACAAAGTTACAGAGCAGATTACAGTGGAGACGACGCATGATAAGAAACAATTCATTTAAAGGCTGATGAGTACATTAAGGCTGGGGCAGATCTGAGGTCATGGGGAAGCCGATTCCATATGTGGGCAGCATAGTAACTAAACGCATCTCCACCATGTTTTTTTCTGACCCGAGGTTCTACCAGCTGATTGTTTCCAAGGGATCTCAGAGCCCTATTGGGTGTATATACAGGAATGAGATCGGACATGTATTTTGGCCCCATGCCATTGAGTGATTTATAAACTAGTAGGAGCACTTTGAAATCTATTCTGTAGTTTACTGGTTTACTGACTATGGTTGACAAATGAAACTTGAGAGGAAAATACAGTACGGAGAATTTACTTACAGCACTAATTTTAAGACCTAGTTGTCAAAATACAAGACTTCTTAAAGACTTAAAGGATTATTTCCAAATTCCTAAATTCAATGCTTTTAAGACTTTTTAAGACCTCGCAGGAACCCTGACTGTATATAATCAAGTTTGCACTCTATAGAAATAAAGCAAGGCATTGAAAATTATGCAAGCTGAATTTTTGAGTCTATACAAAATCAGCTGATCTCAGAAGCATAATTGTCAGCGTATGTATTTATAAGGGCTGATCAATTAATCACATTTTAATCACAATTATGATCTGAGTTTTGAACGATTATAAAAACAAAACGAGCTGATTTTCCTCCTTCATGGTTTACAGAGTTGTAAATCGAGCGCACTTCGCAACAGCGTTGCCAACTTTCAGCTTTTTTCGCTTTTTTCTAAAAACTTTTCAGACCCCTTTCTTGGACTTTTTCTCTAAAAGTATCAAGTAAACTTTTCTGGTAACCCTTAGCTACCTTCTGGATAACTGTTGACATTTCCTGCATGTTAGCAAAACACTCAACCTGCACTCCAGAACGTCCTTCCATACAATATAAAAGGGACTGATGTTAATGAAAAGGCTCTCAGAGTTCTTGGAGGAGTTGGGAGTGTGTAACACACACACACACACACACACACATGCACACAGTGCCCCGAATTTGCTGAAACCAGGAGTGTGTGTGTGTGTGTGGGTGGGGGGTCATGGCGCACCTTCAATCGCTGTGAAAGCAGCAGAAAATGCTTGGGACAATTATTACATTAACTGATGGGGCCTGTAAATAAATAGTTTAGAAATTGAAATAAGTTCTTTACACAGATAAATAACTCATCTCTCTGAACAACATGTTGCTCCTGCACACACCTACAGCACAGCTGGACAGTACTAAATAATTATCATGCAACATTTTGTGGAAGTTTACTGCAACATAGATGTTTATATATTTCTATTTATTTTATATTATAAATCAGTGTTTCCCCTGGATAGGCTCAGGTGTGGTGCTGCACCATGGCTGAAATTCCAGTGCCACGTCTACGAGACACCCTCCTCTCATGGACAACGCCTGGCAGCAAAACAGTCCGCACACAATAACCCCCCCAAATGGACAAAGCATGGCAGGGAAACGGTTTACGCACAAATATTTTCTTTTACTTTCTTTTGTTTATTTAGCCAGTTGATGCCTTAAGCTAGTTTTCCAGGAGCACTACGCAGCCTAAATCAGCTTTGTACAGCATGGTTTGTGTCGGCCCTTCCGGTTGAACGTTTGCATCCATGCCAGCTCCATGACAGAAAGTGGGTGCATCCCTCATCGGTGTGGGGGGTGGGGCAGGCATGAGGGGATCAGGTAACAGTTTAAGGTAACTTGTATGCTCCACAGAAACATAACTCAGCTGAAAATGGTGGTGTTGCTGGACATTGTGCTAAGTTTTATTGCTTTTTGTCAGACTCTGAAAAGAAAATGGCTGCAGGCAGTGAAACAGAAAACAAAAAACTCCATAGCAAACAGTGACTCTGCCCCCTATCCGATCTGTGGTCAGAATCACGATGCCAGCCTGACTCAGCCTTGCCAGGTACCTCAAAGGAGCAGGGACTAAAAATTGGGGAGAAAGTCGAGGGAAAATACCGAACAGTGTTCCTGGGAACAGTGGGCAGGGGCTGAGCTGCACCGGTCTGAATTACTCTGGGCAGTGCTCTTGAAAAACTACCTTAAGTGAGGTGAGCAGAGTAGATCATTGGGACTTCTGTGTCTCATCCAGAGCCACTGCCTACCTTTGGTCTCAAAGGATTAAAATAGCATGATCTGGCCCCTCTAAGTCAGGGGTTCCCAAAATATTTTCTTTGAGGGCCCCCTTGTTCCTATCCAAGAAAAGCCAGGACACCCAACCCCAAGTCCTACACACATACAGTATACACATTAAATGTGATGATTTTCTATCTTTATACAGAGGTCAGTGTTTCCCTTAAGCCGGGCGTACACTGCGCAACTTTTTCACTTTTTTGAGCCGATTTTTCAGTCGTGCGAGAATCCACGACATCGGGGCGAGTTTTGCGCCGAGCGGTCGTGTAGGGGGTTACGAGAGGCGATTAACACCACGTGACCAGCTGCCGATGAGCAGTCGTGAAGTCGCACGGACTTCTGGCGTGTTTAAAATTTCGCTCGTCCCTCGTGAGGGTATCGCACTGTTGAAGCGGCGATGCGAGCAGCTGCGACCAAAAAAGTATCAGAACCGCTCACGGCGCATGCGCAATCCTGCATCAACGCCGCTCGCTATTTCCCTAATAACACACGCTGTTCGTTTTTGTTTCTACACGTTTTTTTACTCACAAAGATCGTCAAGAAAGCGTGTTTGTTGTGTTCATGTCAAATTAAACTGATCACAAAACACAGATTTACTTTCTTTATTTCGTTTTCCTCATCCAACCCCCATAAATCAATGTGTGTCCTCCTGCAGCACTCCCGAAGGACAACAGGCAAGACAAGACAAAAAAGTCTGACGTGTTGAGTAAAAACTGCTATTTTTAGCATATTTTTAGGGCCGACGTGTTGCTACCAGATGTACAGTGTGAGCAGTCAGGTCGCATGCGAGAACTGGGTCGTGCAGTGTGAGCGCATGACTCGTGAGATCTGCTCAGCGAGGAAGTCGTACAGTTTGAGCTGAAGCTGAACGCTGCAAGTGAAAAAGTCGCACAGTGTACGCCCGGCATTAATTCCAGCACCACGCCTGCAAGATCCCGTTTTATAGATTTTTTTTTTTTGCGCTGTTTCCCGAAGAAGCAGCGGGAACTACTCTGTTGTTGCTTGTGATCACAGCCGGCAGGCAGCAAGGAGGAGGAGGCAGGGCAGGGTGGTTACAGCTAGGGATGAGCCGCGGATAAAGCATTTTTGACGAATACGAGCATGAAACAAGTCAAACTCGTAAATATCTGTAATCGTGCTGAAGAAAAATCCCATTGGGTAACTGACTGCCTTCACGCTCTGTGATTGGCCAGTCACATGGAGCACCCGCCCCTTCTTACACACAAAACTCTGCTCCGGCCCACGCACACACACACAGACAGTAACGGATCTCTCTGTGCTTGCTTCACTGTTGCTCACGTTTCTTCGGTACTCCCTAGGTTTTCTTCAGCTCGCCTCTTTTTCGGTTGAATATTTCAAGTTACTTTTATCGTAACGTACGTGGTGCATTTGACAAGACAGAGCTGAAAACGGCTCGTGCTGCGTCGGTCACTGCCTCCGCTCCTGTCGGGTTGTTTTTTAATTATTTTAACTCCCCCCCTCTGTCTCTCCCTCTCTCTCTCTCACACACACATCAACATTGTTTTGTTTAACTGTGTCTGGGAAAAATGCCAACAACGTTAGGAAAAAATCAGTTTAATCAAATTAAAATAAAATAAAAAGTTGTGCCTGGTTCTAGTATTCATATTTCCTAGTTCCTGCTGCATGAGTTCAGATGTATTAATTCATGCACTGTGGTGGGCTGCATGGTGGCGCAGTGGTTAGCACTGTTGCCTCGCAGCACGAAGGTTGCAGGTTCGAAACTCTGCTGTGGCCTTTCTGCGTGGAGTTGCGTGTTCTCCCCATGCATGCGTGGGTTTCCTCCAGGTACTCCGGTTTCCCCCACAGATCACAACATGCCCTATAGGTTATAAATTGTAAGTCGCTTTGGATAAAAGTGTCTTCTAAATAAATAAACAAACATAAACATGCACTTAAATAGTCATGTTCTGATTTTATTGAAAAAATTGTTCTGTAATAGTTCCTTTACTATTGTGATAAAAAATATTTAATCTCAATTCTGAGGCTGCTCTGTAAATAGTTTTCAAATAAACAATACACATAGCAACTTCTGATCAATCCATATCAACTTCAGATTTAAAATAATGTATTGATGTAAACCACACCCACTAATTTCCAAATAATAAATAAGAGGTGCATTCATCTGTGTATCTCCTTTGATCCGCATTAGTGATGTTTTCAGCACCAGAACAATGAAGCTAAGAAACAGATTCCTGAATTTGTTAGTAATTTTATTTATTAGGCGCATCTGACCTGCTCTATTTTTCTCTGAAATGAGATCAAATCAGTGCTTCTATGGGTTGTCTCCTCTCTGCACTAGAAAATTTTACTTTATTATAATGTTCACAGTAATGCATCTTGATGTTCTTAGCAAATAAATTAAATCAAAGATATTGGTCAATAAGGCCAAATATGTAAATTTGTGTTTCAGTCATTTTTTTACTGGCTTAAAAAAACTTCATTAAGTCTACTAAGCAGGGGTGTAGAACGTGTTTAATAGGGCCAGCCCAGTAATGATCTTGGACCAACATACAGGGGGGGCAGAAGGAGATAGTTTTTTCCAGACGCAAAGAAAAATTAAATGCCAAACCCCCCTGCAAAGTGTGTCACTGAGAGTTTAAAACAAAAATTATTCTTGTGCAAATATTGGTGTATTCACCTTTAATACTAGTTAATTAAATGCAGCAGTTGCTGGATTGGTGCAGTTCAAAGTGGAGTGCGTCTAATAAAACAATATTAACATAAAGGTGAGATGTGTCATAATTTTTTTGGACGGGCAGTGTATAATTTTGAGCCTTACCTTGTTCATGTTTCCAGCTTGCTGAGCATTTAAAGTGTGCTGTGCACTCATCTGTGGCCCTCCTTGGGTAAGAGTTTCTGCGAGGACACTTCCACCAACACCAGGGCCAGCACCTACTTGAGTTCCCTGCATGCTTTGGCTCTGGTACTGCATGCCAGGCCCAGGTCTACCTCGGCCTGCTGGTCCCATAGTCCCATTCATAACACCATGACCCTGTCCACTGTTCAACATTGCTTGATTAAAGCCCATGGGTCCATTTCCTTGTCCAGCAGGAGCACCAACCTTCTGGCCCTGGAGAGACTGGTGATTGGGGGAACCCTGGACAAGAGGACCTTTACCCAGTACAGCACCTAGCTGGCTTCCCAGTATGCCTCCTTGCTGGGGGCTGGAGGAATTGAGACTGCCTCCCATATTAGACGAGCTTCCTGGTTGAAGAAGCTCGGACAATTGTTTGTGTTTGGCAGCAGCATCGGCAACAACTGAGTTGAGAGTAGGGCCTCCTCCACCTGGGCCACTATTGGATGACAGTCCCATTACCAAATCTCCGTTAGGGATAAGCTCATCAGGAAGGTCATTTTCCAGGTCAAACAGGGACACAAGATCTAAAACAAGAAAGAGAGGAGAAAATAATTAACGGATTGCTTAATTGTTGTTTAATTGAATCTTCTATTTTAAACAGCTGTGATTCTCCAAGGTAAAAGAGATAATGTTTATATTGAGAAATAAAACAATTTGAGCGACAATGCTACTTTTAAATATGTTCACAATATTAACATATTTATCAATGTACTTCCTAAACAAAGGATGTTTTTGGCAGTTGAACCAAGGAAATTACATACATATACGTATATAAAAAAAAGGAAATAGATAAATACTCAAAATAATCTAAAGGACAACTTTAATGTGTTCTCTTTTTCTTCCTATCGTAATGCATTGCTTAAGTATCGGATGGAGACTCTGTATCGGGCCGGCACATACTCAGAATCAAATGAATCGGGACTTAGATCGGGAACAAAAAATGTCAGAACATACTTAATGGTAAGATTTTAATAATATAATCTGAGTATGTTGTAACTGGGGCTGTGCAGTGGTTAGAGCTGTTGCCTTGTAGCAAAAAGGTCCTGGGTTCGCTTCCCGGCCTGGGATCTTTCTGCATGGAGTTTGCATGTTCTCCCTGTGCATGCGTGGGATCTCTCCGGGTACTCCGGCTTCCTCCCACAGTCCAAAAACATGACTGTTAGGTTGATTGGTCTGTCTAAATTGTCCTTAGGTGTGTGTGTGTGCATGATTGTTTGTCCTGTGCGTCTCTGTGTTGCCCTGCGATGGACTGGCTCTCTGTCCAGGGTGTACCCCGCCTGATTACTCGTTGACCGCTGGAGATATGCACCAGGCCCACTCAGTAAAATTGCGTCTTGTTAAGATTCCCCAAAGATAGACAAGTTAGAAAAAGCATTTTATAACCAGCCCAATATGATCTGGCAGCAGTTGGTTTTCTTAGTTTAGCATAAAACAATGTAAGTGAATTCACATACATTGTAGTGTTTTTTTATGTAGGTGAATGCAAGCCTTCCCTTCCATTACTTTATGCTAAAACAACTGGTTACAAAATGTTTTTTCTGGCTTAGCTAACTCTGGGGAATCTAACAACCCACACAAGTTTAGGGACAGAAGATCCCTATAAGAATGTTATAATAATAAAAATACAGCAATAAATAAAACGTAATACTTGTGCTTTGTAACAAAGTAACACTCTGTGGAAGTTAACTAGGTGAACTTATTCACCCTGGACAGGAAATAATTGCACATAAGAAACATAAATAAGAATAAATTTTAAAAAAGTTCCAAAACAATAATTTGTGTTCAAAGTTCAAAGGAGTGGAGCCACACAACATGAGTTCATAAATAGGGATGCACCGATGAGGTTTTTTGCTGCCGATCACCGATACCGATATCAAAGAATGCTGATCACCGATATGGATTGGCCAGAAATTTTCTACAACATTATAATGAGTGCTACAAACTACATAATCTGGGAATAAAGGAAATGTAACCTAATCTAAAATGGTCTGTATTAGGGTTGTCACGGTGTGAAAATTTAAGCTCACGGTTATTGTGACCAAAATTACCACGGTTTTCGGTATTATCGCAGTATTTTTTTAAACGTGCTACATTTTCACACAATTAAATAAACCCTGTATGTCAGGAAATATTGTCCTCAGTTTGTGTCTAAATTTAGCCTAAAATGTGTTATTTTGTAATTATGTTGTTTATTTGTTTACATTTTTCCCCTTTAGTCTTTAAAATACCAATATTTGCCCATAACTTCTTATTTTATGTCTGTTTGATGTCATCATTTTAAAAAAATATTAGATCAGATGATACTCAGTACTCAAGTAGCCTTCTAATCAGATACTTTTTTACCCTTACTTGAGTAATAAACCCTATATCAGGAAAATATTGTCCTCGGTTTGTGTCCTTCCAGTGAGCTTTGCAGATGTGGGAAAATGTCATCAGGCAGTAATCATTGTTAATTTCATAATTATTCTCGGAGAGAGACCAACTCTTACCTGCCCCTGGGAGCCCCGTAATGCATAGCGTCATTTCAACATGGGGGTGTCCACGACACGGTTTATATGCAGGTAGCGGCGCTGCGGCTGCTTTATATAGCGACTCGTTGCGTTCTCCCTCAACCCAAATCCTCGGATCACGCATTTTAGCTAAAACGCTAACGTTAACTTGCCTTGCGTTGACTGTAGAGTTGTGGGTGATGGTCACGCAGATGTGTCATGAGATCTGAAGCGCTGCTGCCTTTCACAGACACTTTTTCTGCTCGTGCTGCAAACAGGATAGCCGTCCGTCCGTCTTCTATAAACTCCCTCGGCATTCTTCAAATATCTAAAATATGCCCGTAATTCCGACTTTGAGGGATAATAAATGTCCTCCTGAGCGCTGCCGTCTCCTCCTTTGACCATTATTTCAGCTTTAGCTTCAAGAAAGTTTTGTTGTAAACAAAGCGTGCATGTGCCGCCGGCAACTTCAGCCGATGATACGGTGGCTGGTAAGGGTCATCACGCCTACACCGCAGCCACGGTAAACCCACCAAGATAATATAGTTTTTTAAAAAACAAGACGGTTATTATTATTGTCAACTTTTTATTTTTTTACCGGGGTTTCCCGCTACACTGGTTACCGTGACAACCCTACCTGATCGGTTTGCTTTGATCTATTTTGAAAATTCCGATCAAAACCGATAGGGGCGCTATCGGCCGATTACGATCAAATGCCGATCCATCGGTGCATCCCTATTCATAAAGCTGGCGCAATCTGCTGGATAGGTAGCACAATATCGGCCATTTTTTTGGCCGATAGCCAATACTGTTATTGACACCAATATCAACTATATCGGACAGGCCCTAATTACGAGTAGAGGAGCAGCTGGGGGACAAAGGATAGCTAGCTGGGTTGCATCCAATGCTGCCCACCCTCCTTCCCTCATCTAAATCAGTTCCACCTCAGCACAGATGTTTGCCAACCAACCAAGAGCACTGTTAGCCAAATCTTTACTAGATTAACAAACAGCAAAAGCAAAACACTTCTTTTGAAAATGTGAGGGACTGTTAGCCCTAAGCAATGACTCACACACACCTATGGATGAAAACGGTTCACTAGGTGAGTAGTATAGAGTGTAGTTGCCTCTCCCCTGTGGTGCTGACGCATCCATTCAGCCAGCCACATGACAACAAGCCTGACACTGGCCTGTGGCCACAAGCACATACTGACACAACACCGGAGTTCCATAAAAACACATTAACAAAAACATTAAAGACTGATAATCTGTGTTCATGAGCAAAAGCTCTGCATGCAGACGGATGCGTGTGGAAAAGAGACACCTTTGCTATCTGTCCCAATGTGACTGGCTAAGGAGCCAAAATCACTTGTTTGAAAAAGAGTGGTACAGCAAATCAATAAATTAAAATACCCAAAAGATTTTATACAGCTTGCATATCTATAATGTGGTGACATAAGATGATAAATATCCAAAAATTGTTACATAATCAAATTCTATTGAATTTGGGAACAAGTCAAACCACAATCCCAATCTCAGAGCACTACACCAAAACAGTAAATCTGTGCAATTATAATCCTATTAGCCACTGATTTGGCACATTAGTTGTACATATTATTCAGAAAAAGGGCAGGGTGATATGGCCTAAAATCAATATCACGATATATTGAGGATTTCATCTTGATAACGATAAATGGGCGATAACTACCTGTATGCGCAGAAACAAAAGTTGTCCACTAGATGGGACTGTTATATGTATTATGTTGAGTCACATTTTTATGTGACTCCAGACGGTACAGCTTCTTAAAGGGACATGAAAGTTGCCAAACTACTCATATTTTTATTTTATTATTATCACATTTATTTGGAAAAAGCGATATCGAAAAGAGTCAGAAAATTTGACAATGATACATTTTCGGTTTATTGCCCAGCCCTATTCAGAAATTTAAAATCAATGAGACTGTTGGGCGATTTGAATAATTTTTACCACTGCCAATCATCAATCCATTAAATGCTGATTGGCGATATATTTGTGCAAGCAAGCAACTCTTTGAGCAACGTCACAATGCAATGATTTGTAACACAGAAGAATTCGAAACACAAAATTTTAATTTAATTTTTTTAATAAAAGCACAGCTGGAAGAAAGTTTTTGATTTTACTTTTTGTTTAATTTTGTATTTGTTGTTTGTTAGAATGAAGTATAAACGGCTCATATTAAACACGGTTGAGTGTTAAAAATAAGCCTAGTCTGTTTCCCTATGGTGCTCACTGTTGTGGCATTTTATCCAAGAAATTTTGTTTCAACATACAGTAGGCTACTGGGTTCATTTCTTTTATGACTTTGAGTCACTTTCCTTTTTAAAATAATAATCATTCGACAGTTAAAATTCCATTCATTTTTAATTACTATTTGGTCCAAACAAGTTGAACAGATTGCCCTAGTAACATATAAATGGTAAATGGTAAATGGCCTGTATTTGATATAGCGCCTTCTAGAGTCCTGGAACCCCCCAAGGCGCTTTACAACACAATCAGTCATTCACCCATTCACTAGGGCTGCAACAACGAATCGATAAATTCGATGAAAATCGATTACTAAAAGCGTTGGCAACGAATTGAGTCATCGATTCGTTGTGTTGCGCAACTCTTCCAAAAGCCCCCTCCCCTCCCGCCCGCCGTTGCGCGCAGACCGGTGGAGAGCCGGCAGGTGTTTGTAAGAGGAACATGGCAGAAGCAGCGAGACCCCAAAAAAGTAAAAACTTCTAAAGTTTGGGAGCATTTTCAGTTAAATCAGGTGAAGACATCCAACGTTTGTAGGTCAGACTCAGCATGGCACGGGGATACTACAGTGATGATGCAGCGTCTTAAACGCAAGCATGTCAGAATCATCAGCGAGGAGGGAGAGAGCTCGGTGTCTGGGTAAGTTAAAAACTTTTCAAAAGTGATTCACCCAAGCCCCGGATTATTACACAGGCTAGACATGCCCTAAGCTCGTAAAAAAAGTCTTTAAAATTGTAAGCGCGACGCTATTAGAT